TTTACTTTCCAGTGTCCTGGGCAAGTGAGGGGTGGCTATGTTGACCAAGTTCCGACAGAGAAGAGTGAACTGATTTGGGCTCTATAAAAAGTGACAAAAGGAAGCTGACTCTGCTGGGAGAGTAGACTTTTTTGCCCTTCCCCCATCCTCTTTCCTGCTTTCCAGAGCAGGTGATGGCTGGAATTCCAATAGCCGTTTAAGACTATGAAGTAACCATGAGGTTGGAAGTCACGGGTCGGGATAGAGGGTGAAGCAGAAACACGGGAATAGTCGAGATCTCTGATGAGTGTGAGGCCGCCATACTGCCTGCATCTACTGCTCCCCAGCATCCTTTCCATAAGAGAGAAACAAGTACCTAATTTGTTCAAAGTTACCAATACTTTAAGTTTCCTGTTACATAAGCCAGATATAATCATGATACAGCCCATCGCTGAAATTAATTCACAGGCCATGTCAACTTGAACACAGAACCAGGATCATTGTGGCAAGAGAAAAGTGTCTGCTCCTGTGAGATAAGGAGCACCAGCTGGGAGGGCTTTAAATTAAGGCTTGCAAAACCAAATTCCTACTGGGATGAAAGAGCTAACTTCACCCTTTGCACTCGGATGTCCCCTCTGAAAGGACATCATAAATCTAGCAACCCACTCGGATGCCCCAGGGGACAAAATGAGATTGCTTATGCAAGCACAAATTTTTCAAAAATGTATATTTCCTTGAAGTTTTCCGCTAAAAAATAATGAAAAACCTATGTCCCGTCTGAAATTTGCCAAGCTTCTGATCAATCAGTCAGGAAGTGGTTTTCAGGAATCACAAGTGCATCCTTCCACATCATCCTCGAACAACAGACTGGACAATAAATTACACATTATTAACACAGGAGGAAGAAAACAAGGCTGCACTGTCTGCTTGAATAGAAAAAGCCAGGCGGAAGACATTAAATAACTCACTATTGCACAGCATGTATCAATGAACCTGAAATGTGTGTCGGTGACTGCTTCTGTTACCACATGTTAGAAAAATATAAGATATAAAATTTTGATTTTTTTGTCTTAAATAGGTTCCTTAATGTCCCAAATTCCATTAAAAGCCAAATATCATTACAATAAAACAATTGGTTCCAACACTATACTATTTAATATGAAGTGATTCGTTTTTCACTTCGTTAAATAGCAGGCTAGTTGCTGGTAGGTGATCTGTGAGATGTCTCCGAGTGCAAAGGGTTAAATTTGTTAAAAACCTGGGTATAGAACTAATACAGTCCAAGTGGAATACTTCTGTGGGGCCGTGAGTTTTATATGCACCCTGTGGCTTTCGAGACTACAAAATGTGGAGTCAACACAGAGATCAGCTATGGGAAAAAGTCCTGCTGAAACAGAATGGTGGGTAGTACTCCCAAGGAACAATGGAAAGGGTTCATGCAGCAGGAAGCACAAAAGCTCAGTGCTTACTTTTGAATTGATTTTTTAAAGTTTTACTTGTCAATATCCTCTACAAACAAAGTAATTACTAGAAAAATCAAAACTCGGTCAGGCATGGTGACTCAAGCCTGTAATCCCAGCACTTTGGGAGGCTAAGGCAAGAGGATTGCTTGAGCTCAGGAGTTCAAGACCAGCCTGGGCAACTTGGTGAGACCTCATCTCTACAATAAATCAAAAAATAAGCCAGGCATGGTAGCACACACCTGTAGTTCTAGCTACTTGGAAGGCTGAGGCACAAGGATCGCCTAAGCCCAGCAGGTCGAGGCTGTGGTGGCCATGAGCATGCTACTGCATTCCAGAGTGAGACTCCAACTCAAAGAAAATAGAAAATCAAACCTCAAGGTCTTTTGAGGAAGAGACACAAAGGTTAAAAACCAACAGGTCAGTTAATGTTTTCATTCAACCAAGGAAAATAATAAAAATAACCATGTGAAGTCAAAATGGTTAGTTATTTCCATCTTCAAGAAGGTTACACTGATGTCATTGAATTCAGAAGAAATCATGTTATCTATGTTAGTGGAAGGGGACAGAAGGATAATAAACAAAGCATCAGAATGTATTCAACTGCCTAAGCTCTGGGGTTCATGGAAAACTGGTTTGGGTTTGATTGGCTGACATGGGTTATGGTCCAAAGGCAAGTTGAGAAGCGAGAAGGATTGGCCCGGGTAGAAAAACCAACTGCAGATAAACCTCCTACAGCAAACCATGAGCTGAGAAGCAGGAGAAGACAGTTAGGTCAGACTCAGCACTGGGTAACTAAGAATCTCAAACCAGAAGGAAGTCCAGCTCCATGATAGTTTTCAATGGCTTTATTCTTCAAATAATTAATGTATCTTTTCACTGCAATGATAACATGTTTATGGGACAAAGTGCAAATACAGATTAAAAAAAAGGAAATCAGAATCACTTCCATCTTGTCATGGGAAAGAACTACTATTAACAATTTGGAATATGTTGTTTCAGACTCTTCTAGTCTCCCAATTATAAGTGTGTACATGTGTATACATAAGTGTATGCATACATAAATATACACACATACATACACACACACCTATATGCACACATGGCTATATGTATATACATATGTAGATATGTATGTACATATATAGACATGTATGTGTATATACTTACATAAACATGCACACATGTATACACACACATGCATATGTATATGTATGTATAGATTTTTTTTTTTTTTTTTTTTTACCAAAATGAAATCAAACAATTTTAAAATTACTTTTCTTTTTTTTTTTTGAGTTGGAATCTCACTCTTTTGCCCAGGCTGGAGTGCAGTGGCATGCTCACAGCCACTGCAGCCTCAACTTTCTGGGCTCAGGCAATCCTTCCACCTCAACTTTCCCAGTAGTTGAAACTACAGGAGCAAGACACCATGCCTGGCTACTTTTTTGATTTATTGTAGGAACGAGGTCTCACCAAGTTGCCCAGGCTGGGCTCAGGCAATCCTCTCACCTCTGCCTCCCAAAGTGCTGGGATTATAGATGTGAGCCACCTCGCCTGGCTAAAATTTTTTACAATCAATAATCCAGGTAGTTAAGAACATAAATTTGCTTGGTCAAATAATATTATCAAGTCACTTTTTCTCCTGAAAAAGCCATATCAAAAATTTAATAAGGCCAAGTGCAGTGACTCAAGTCTATAATCCCAGCACTTTGGGAGGCCGAGGTGAGAGGACTGCCTAAGCTGTGGGTTCGTGACAAAACTGGGCAACATGATGAAACCTCGTCTCTTCTATAAATCAAAAAATTAGCTGGGCATGGTAGCATGCACCTGTAGTTCCAGCTACTTGGAAAACTGGGACAGAAGGATCGTCAGAGCCCAATAGGTCGACACTAGGGTGGCCACGAGCATGCCCCTACACTCCAGCCTGGGCAGCAGAGTGAAACTCCTACTCAAAAAAAAAAAAAAAAGAGGCTTAATAAGAACTGTATGCCAGGTACAGTGGTTCATGCCTGTAATCCCAACACTTTGGGAGGCCAAAGCAGGAGAATTGCTTGAATCCCAGAGTTCAAGACCAGCCTGAACAACACAGCAAGGCCTCATCTTTACCAAGAGAAAAAAAATTAGCCAAGTGTCACCACACCTGTAGTCCCAGCTACTGAGAAGGCTAAGTCTGAAAGATCACTTGAGCCCAGGAGGTCAAGGCTTCAGTGAGCCATGTTCATGACACTGCACTCCAGCCTAGGCAACAGAGTGAGTCTCCGACTCAAAAAAACTTAAAAAAGGAAAAGAAATATGACCAAAACAATACGATATATAAACCAGTAGTCATTGGCATTAAAAAAAAAAAAAAACTGGCTCTTCTAAATTAAAGAAATTTAGAAATCATTAAGCAAACACAATAGTAATAATTATTATAGGCAAGATCCACTGGTAGATGATAAAATTAGTAGGTAAAACTTTGAGGAGGAACAAGACATTAGCAGTCTCAAAGTATCACTCCAAAAAACACTTATTAATTATACTATAATTTTACAATGAAGAAACGCAGGAGACACTAACCTAATAAGTGATCAAGGTCAACATCACCAGTATGAAGGCATGTCAACATCACAATCCCCTTGACAGCATATGCTGAGAAGGGCACCTTACCCACGGTATTCTTGCCAAAATGCATAACTTCAGATTTTTCATGAGAAAACATTAGACAAACCCAAATTTAGGTATATTCTACAAAATAAGTGACAGGTATTCTTCAAGAGTATCAAAGAAAGACTGAAGAACTATGACAGACTGGAGAGGATTAGAGAGACATGTCAACTAAATACAATGTGGGATCTTGTGGGATCTTGAACTAGATCCTATAACAAAAGAGGAACATTAGCGGAAAAAACGATGACATCTGAATAAAGTCTGGAGTTTGGCTAATTTTAAAAAGAAAAGAAAAAAAAAACTGGCTCTTCAAAGTCAGCCAAAAAAAAAAAAAAAAAAATTCCAGAAGCAGAATCACAATTACTCTCTAGTCATGATTATGGCATAAAAGCACTAAACCCAACTAAGAGAGCTCAAAGTATCCTTCACTAGTTGGTAAAGGCAAAGTGGAGTCAGTCTCTCTATTTAAATGTGTGACATTCTTAAATTCTTATGTATGTATGTATGTATTTATTGAGTTGGAGTCTCATTCCATCCCCCAGGCTGGAGTGCAGTAGCACACTCACAGCCACCGCAGTCTCGACTTGCTGGGCTCTGGCGATCCTTCCACCTCAGCCTTCCAAGTAGCCAGAACTACAGCCACACGCTACCATGCCTGGCTAATTTTTTTATTTATTGTAGAGAAAAGGTCTCACCATGTTGCCCAAGCTGGTCTTGAACCCATGGGCTCAGGCAATCCTCTCACCTCAGCCTTCCAAAGTGCTGGGATTACAGGTGTGAGCCACCATGCCCGGCCTACCCATTCTTAAATTCTAGGGCAACAAACAACCCCAAGGCAAACATGGATACGAGCATGCACACACACGCACAAACAGAGAATCTGGGCATGCCATTGATAACTATTTACATTACCTAAAAAAATCTTGGAATTCCTCCTTTTTGGTAAGGCTCCACCAGATGCCCCTCTTACCTTCTGAAAAGAAAACAAGAGACCATTAACATGCAGCCTGCTGAATAAACAGTTTGGGGTGGAAGAGTACATCTTGGGGGGGTCCCCAGTTCTTATAAATGACCAAGAGGAAATATCCAACCTGGACAAGCAATTCCTCGATAAGCAGCAACCCGACTCAGGTCAACACAGGTAGTTGAAGGGCAATGCTACTGTCCCGCCTGACTATTTTCACCAAGTATAAGGGACACACTTCTGGAAAGGAAAGTAGAAACCAGAAACCAAGGTGAGGCAGATGGTGGAGCTTCAACCCAGCATGTGCTTGCTCCCAGAGTCCTGTCCTGAGGGTGAGAGGCTGAAGAAAGTGAAGCAGTCATTCTCTTGCTCGTCCAGTGGGTCCCCAGCGCTTGGCCCTGAGCATGCTCACAACTATTGTTGAAAGACTGAATAACTATCTATTAAATCACTGATATTCTGGTCACTCAATCTCCCAGACGCAGTGGCTCACACCTGCAATCCCAGCACTTCGGGAGAGGTGAGGATCACAAAAGGAGAGGATCACTTGAGCCTAGGAGTTCAAGACCAGCCTGGGCAATATAGTGAGAACTCATCCCTACAAAAATAATTTTTAAAAAAATCAGCCAGGCATGATGGCACAAACCTGTAATCCTAGCTACTCGGGAGGCTAAGGTGGAAGGATCACCTGAGTTCAGGAGGTAGAGGCTGCAGTGAGGCATGGTCATACTACTGCACTATAGCTTGGGTGACAGACCTCAACTCAAAAAGAAAACAAACACACACACACACACACACACACACACACACCCCTCAGTCCAGCCTCCCTAAACATTTTGGGAGCACCAATAGGTAGCTATGTTTTCCATCCTAAGTGTCCTGCTTTTACTAGCCATGATGGAAGTCCTCAGCAACAATGAAATAAACGCCCATCAGTGGCTATTCAAAAGAGGTCATGCATCTAATGCCCACACAAAACATTTTACTCTCAATTCGATAATAATCATTTTTGTTTCAAACAGCCAAAACCATATTTCCACATTATACGTTTTTTCAGTTACTAGAAAAAAAGCACGTTAGACCACAGCGTGTGGGTCCAGCCCCACGTCATTCCAGGCAGCCATGTTATTCCAGGCATCAAAGCTAGCTGCTCATTGTCTGCTTCTTGATTTGCCCTCCCATCAATCCTAAGTCTGGTTTCCCATGCTGTATTATCCGCCACTGACAGCTGACTCATCTTTGTGATTCTCACATCAAGATTTTATAGCTCCTTCTACAGGTTTGCAGATCACATCTTAGGAATCTGAATCATTGAACACTTTAGCTCAAAAACTTGTCCCTCCACATACTCCTACCAAATGCATGTCAAATCCTTCTCCTCTGTGGTCTCAGAGCCTCTGTCCTCTCCCTTCTACTTACCTGCCCCAAGAAAAGGTCATATAAAACCTGTTCCGAAGGCACACTTAGCAATCCTGGAGGACACGTGAAATCTCTCTGCAGAAGTTTATGGTGCCCTTTGAACTGTTCCGGTGTCCCACCACCCCCCCCACCCCGTATGATGTTGGAGGGAGAAAAAAGAAGAGGGACTCCATGAAGACCTGCAGGAAAACGAGTCTGTCCCTAATGGTGGGATTCACATCTCAGATTTGCATTAGGTTCATGTCCTTTAAGATTTAAAAAAAGGAAAAAAAAAAAGTAGGACTGTATTCTAAAGACCATCACCTCTGCTCCTGCATCAGCCAACAATAAAAATCAACAGGGTGTGAGAAACCAAAACTTCTCGGCCAGCAAATATGACTGTGCCTGTGTGCCAAGTTCTGTGCTGGAGCTCAGGGTGCAGAGTGAATGAAGACATGTTCCATCTTCTGAGGAGCTCAACAGCGTAGTTGAGGAACATATATGGAGTGCCAAAAAATGTAGACACATCTTAAGTATGACATTCTCTCAAAAGATGGCATTAATCAAACAAATGCAAGTGTCATCTTGCAACAGTCAGGACTGTCAAATAAAATGACAGAAGCATGGCTGAGTGAATGTCATACTACACATTGCTACTACAATTTAATTCGATTTCAAAGAGTAATACATAGATAACATCGCTTAAAATGTGTATACATTTTTTGGCACCCCACATGTAAACAAACAGCACAACAGATTCTGGTGAGCGCAAGAGAGGTTCAAAAAGAGGTACAATCCAGCCGGGCTCGGTGGCTCAGCCTGTAATCCCGCACCTTTGGGAGGCTGAGGTGAGTGGATTGCCTGAGTCTGCGGGTTCGAGACCCGCCTGGGCAACTTGGCGAGACCTCATCTCTACAATAAGTCAAAAATTAGCCGGGTGTGGTAACGCGCGCCTGTAGCTCCGGCTGCTTGGAAGGCTGAGGCGGAAGGATCGCCGGAGCCCAGCAGGTCTAGGCTGCAGTAGCCAGGAGCGGCCACTGCACTCCAGTCTGGGTGACAGAGTGAGACTCCAACTCAAAAAAAAAAAAAGAAAAAAAGAGGTACAATCATCCTATAAAGAGGAAATAATCAGTTCATCTGGGGGAGGAGGTGGAGGCAGAGTTGGTCAGTAAGAAGAACAGCAGTCCTGGCATATAGCAGCCACTCGTAACTATTCATTGGATGAATACATGGGTGGATGGATGTGTGGGTGGGCGGGTGGATGGATGGATGAATGGATGGATGGACATAAATGGATGGATGAATGGATGGATGGACATAAATGGATGGATGAATGGATGGGTATCCTGACCCCACAGAGTACAACAGGTAAAACAGAAGGGGGGTAGAAGTGAGCATCCCAGCAGACACAGAGACATGAAATCCCCGTGTGCTCCAGAAAGAAGCAGTTTGCTATGTCTGGAGCACAGAGCTGGGGAAAGAAGAGTGAGGGTTACAAAGCCTGCAGGGGTCAGAGCATGACCACCTTACAATCACATGCCAAAGAGTCTGGACTTCATCCTGCAGCACAGAGAGAAATGGCAGGGATTTAAGCATCAGTGCGCTACAGATGCACAGATATATATGCATCTGGAAGATCACTCTGGGAGCAGAGTGCAGACTGGGTGGGACTGAAGGTGGCAAGTTCGTAGAAAGATCAGTCAGGAAGCTACAGCATCAGTCTTTTTAAAGACTGAACACTCAGGCAAGAATAGCAGGGATGCAGAGAACAAGAGGGACCTCAGAGCTATTTGGGAAGCCCAGGCAACAAGATCCCACCAACAAGACACAGAAGGAAAGCAGAACCAAGGGCCATCTAGGTCTCTGGAAATCGAGAGGAGGGACCATTTTGAGAAAGGGAATAATTTGTTCAGTCTGGGCACACTGGACTTGAAGTACCTATGAGATGCTGGAATAGAAAAATCCAGATGGGAATCAGATGGTCAGATCTTCAGCTCTGAAGAGACAGTTTGGAAGTTATCAGTTTAGAAAGAGTAGTGAAACAAAGATAGGCATGGCAATGAAAAAGAAGAGCACCTGTCTGAAGAAGAAGATGGATGGGCAAATGGCATCCTAGGAAGTGCCCAAAACTAAGGACTGAACAAAGGAAGAGATGCTATTTAAAGAAACTGAGAAAGGGCAGGAGGAACCTAAGTTCCAGTGTCAAAGAAAGCAGGAGAGGACCAGTTCCAAAGGAAAACAGGCTCAGATTTCCAAACACTCAAAATGTATCAGCTGGGCTCGGTGGCTCAGCCTGTAATCCCGCACCTTTGGGAGGCTGAGGTGAGTGGATTGCCTAAGCCCGCGGGTTCAAGACCCACCTGGGCAGCGAGACCTTATCTCTACAATAAATCAAAAAATCAGCTGGGCGTGGTAGTGCATGCCTATAATTCCGGCTACTTGGAAGGTTGAGGCGGAAGGATCGCCGGAGCCCAGCAGGTCGAGGTTGTGGTGGCCGGGAGCGGCCACTGCACTGCAGTCTGGGCGACAGAGTGAGACTCCAACTCAAAAAAAAAAAAAAAAAAATGTATCCACCAAGTATGGCAACTAAGAGGTCACTGGCCATGCGGGCAGCTTTCCTGGATTAACAAGATCAATCAGGCTGCAATGCTGATCCTTAGTGGAAGATGTAGCAAAGACAATGAGAATAGAAAAATTATCAAAGCAGCTTACCTGGATGAATGTAATGACCTGAGAAGGACACAAGTTAGAAGGGTGGTTCTGTGGTTCTCTCTCTCTCCTTTTTTTTTTTGGGGGGGGGGGCTGGAGTCTCACTCCATACCCCAGGCTGGAGTGCAGTGGCATACGCACAACCACCCCAGCGTCCGGTGATCCTTCCACTTCAGCCTTCCAAGTAGTGGGAAATACCATACCCAGCTAATTTTTGATTTATTGTGGAGACGAGGTCTCGCCAAAGTTCCCAGGCTGGTCATGAACCCTCGGGCGCAGAGGCAATCCACTCACCTTGGCTTCCCAAAGTGCTGGGATTACAGGCTGAGTCACTGGTGTGTTCTCTTTTAAGGTGGGAGAAAACAAGCCAGAAGAGGAGGAAGGTGGAGCTATCGGAGAAGGTGGACTTAACGAAGAAGCAAGTTTCCCAAGGTAGGAGGAAACAGGACCCTGAGGACAGAGAAAATACAGCCTTCTGCTGAGATCAGAACAGCCTCTCAGGAGAGCAGGACAGGATACAGACTACAAGGTTTGCTGGACAATGAGACAGCCCGATGGAAGAGGGAGGCCAGAAAGCTAACGTGGTCCCGAGCCCAGGTTAGCATGGGACTAGCAGTCGTGCATGGAAGGAGAGGGTGATATAAATGGATCAGCTGGTTGGCGTCCTGGAGAAGAATTAAGGAGGCAAGATAAGTGCATAAGGGTCAGATAAGGGTACTGTGGGTTACAGAACATTTAAAGGAATGAATGGTGAGAAGTAGGTGAAACAAGTCACAGGTCTGGAGGGCTCCAGGTGGTAGAACAACCGATGGAAGCAGGAATAAATGAGTGAAGGAGCTAAAATGAGTGGAGCTTGTGGGCAGAGAGTGAAATGTTTAACTTAAATTTTAGAGGTAGAGCTAACTGTACAAAATTATTGGCATTCCACAGTTCTGCCGCTAACTTTGTGACCCTAGCAAGTCATTTTAAGTCTCTGAGCCTCAGTTTCTTTTTTTTTCTCCCTAGTTTCTTACTATCTCACCATTTTACACTATGGGACGAAGCAGCCTAACAGAAGTAGTACTTCTGTAAGTAGTACACTGTAAACCAAAAAATAGCAGGCTGTAATTAAATTACTTGAAAGCTAATCATTAAGTCTATGCTTTATCTGACTTGCTGGTCTTTCTTCCTCCCCTTCCCACTGTCCCACTGTCCAGTGTTGGGATCTCACCTTTTTAAGAACTTAAACAGATAACATATTAGGTAGGCTATCATAAGAGATAGATGAAATTAGCATTAGCATTGACTACTGAGAAGATCCAATATAGTTTAAAAGTTGAACAGTATTGCTTAAATATACAATCAACATTTAAAAATTAATAACAACTCCAAACACCATCAATAACTAAATGCATAAAAAAGGAAAGGTAACAGTAACATTAGTAACAAAAATTATAGTGCACTAAAAAAAACTAATAAAATACAAGTTCCTTTACAGAAAACTATAAAATATTACTAAATGACGTAAAATAAAACTGACCAGATGCGGTGGCTCACACCTGTAATCCCAGCACTTTGGAAAGCTGAGGCAGAAGGATCACTTGAGCCCAGAACTTCATGACCAGTCTGGGCAATGCAGTGAGACCTCATCTCTTCAAAAAAATTTGGCCGGGCTTAGTGGCTCAGCCTGTAATTCCAGCACTTTGGGAGGCCAAGGCAAGTGGACTGCCTGAGCCTGCAGATTCGAGACCAGCCCGGGCAACTTGGTGAGACCTCATCTCTACAATAAATAAAAAATTAGCCAGGTGTGGTAGTGCATGCCTGTAGGTCCAGCTCCTTGGAAGGCTTAGATGAAAGGATCGCCAGAGCCCAGCAGGTCAATATTGGGGTGGCCGCGAGTATGCGTGCCACTGCACTCCAGCCTGAGTGACAGAATGAGACTCCAACTCAAAAAAAAATTAAAAATTAAAAAAAATTAGCCAGGCATGGTGGCACATGCCTACAGTCCTAGCTACTCCAGAGGCTGAAGCAGAAGGATTAACTGAGCCCAGGAGGTTGAGGCTGCAGTGAACCATGCCATGATTGTGCCACTGAATTCCAGCCTGGGCAACAGAGACTCCAATTCAAAAAAAAAGAAAAAGAAAGCTGAATAAAGTGATATGCCATGTTAATGGCCATGTTAATGGCTATTCAATAATTTAATAAATATTTATGCAGCACCTACTATATTCTAGGCTCTGGCAAGTGCCAAAGACACAGCAGTGAACAAAACCAACAAAAGTCCATGCTCTCATGGATCTTTTTTTTTTTAATTTTTTTTAAATTTATTGCAGAGATGAGGCCTTGCCAAGTTGCCCAGGCGGGTCTCAAACCTGCAGGCTCAGGCAATTCACTCACCTCAGCCTCCCAAAGTGCTGGGATTACAGGCTGCCCTCATGGATCTTATACAATGATGTGGATTATAGGTTAATCTATAAATTGAATGTGATTGTGATCAAAATCTCAACAAGGTTTTTAAAACTAGAATTGATTCCAAGGTTTTTAAAACTAGAATTGAGGTCCCGGTTACTCGGAAGGCTGAGGCAGAAGGATCGCCTGAGCCCAGCAGATTGAGGCTGTGGTGGCCATGACCGTGCCATTGCACTCAGAGTGAGACACCAACTCAAAAAAAAAAAATGAGCGGGGGGGCAGTACATGAAAAGGGGAGTACCTCCAGATTCTTCTCTTTTGGATAGAGTCCAAAAACAATGTTTTTGCTTGTTTGTTTTGAGTCGGATTCTCACTCACCCAGGCTGGAGAGCGGTGGCATGCTCACAGTCACCGCAGCCTCAACCTGCTGGGCTCCAGGGATCCTTCCACCTCAGCCTTCCAAGTAGCTGGAACTACAGGCATGCGCCATCATGCCTGGCTAATTTTTTGATTTATTATAGTGATGAGGTCTGGTGACGTTGCCCAGGCTGGTCTCGAACCTGTGGGCTCAGGTAATCCTCTCACCTCAGCCTCCCAAAGTGCTGAGATTGTAGGTATGAACCACTACGCCTGGCCTTAAAGAGAAAAACTCTTCACAGAATTAAAGTAACAGTATGATAGCATTTATCTACATTTTAAAAACATATAAAGTCATATTATATATTGCTCATGAATACACATTTGTTAGTAAGATGTAACAACATGCATGACAATGAGAAACAAATTCACAGCAGTGGTTACTTCAGAGGAAGAAGGGAACAAAAGGAACTTGAACTTTTAGAAAAATGCTATTTCTCTAAATTCTCTATTGTTTCTAAAAATAAAAAAAACAAAATGAAGAATCTGAAGCAAAAACATCCATAAGTTTTTTGGATCCATACATGTCTCTGGCATTATTTCCTGTACTTTTCTGTATTTTTTAACTTAATTTTTTTTCCAATCAATCCACATCTTCGGAAAAACACCAGAGGTTTAGAAGAAGAAAAAGAAAACCGGTTAAAATAAGGTTTGGGCAAATCTCTGAATTTTGCAAAAAGGGCTGTTTTTGTTTGCCATCATCAAAAAGGATCAGCGGTCATGTGGGCACAGTATAACCTCCATGTGATAAAGCACACTAAGACAATGTCAAAGGAAAGACATCAGGGCCAGCCCTCCGAAAGTGTATCTCACCTCTCGCACATGTCTTTTCAGGAGCATGTACACGCTCTGTCCAGTTTTTCGAAAATGTCTTTCAACATGTTCCCTTCCAAAGGCCAAAAATGTGTTCATGCATACATAGAGTCCACCTTCAGAACTCTAGAAGAAAAAGACAAAGCACATTAGCCAAGGCCACCTAGTCAAGTAGTCAGATACAGAAAAAGGGAAGGGGAAAATGGCACACAATGAAGACAAAGCCTGGCAAAGGGCCACCGTGGCTCCTGCCACCATCATCAACAACCCCCCAACAGTCCCACAGACACCCACGGTGGAAGTTCCGCCCCAGCCCTGGCATCCAGGTGCTCCTGGACAACTGAGCGCTCCATCCACCAAATGCTGCCTGCATTCACAGTCAGGTGAGATCCTCAGAGGCCCCAGGAAATAACATGCTTGTCTGACTCTCCAAAATGGGATAAGGGAAGAGAGGAATAGAGGAAAGTTGGCAAGGGACCGATCCTACTGATCCTATATATATATATATATATTTTTTTTTTTATTTTTTTTTTTTTTTTTTTTTAATTGGAGTCTCACTCTTGTCGCCCAGGCTGGAGTGCAGTGGCACGCTCATGGTCACTGCAGTCTCGACCTGCTGGGCTTAAGCTATCCTTCCACCTCAGCCTTCCAAGTAGCCAGAACCACAGATGCACACCACCACACCCAGTTAGTTTTTGTGATTTATTTAGAAACAAAGTCTCACCAAATTGGCCAGGTTGGTCTCAAACCCCTGGGGTCAGGCAATCCTCTCACCTGGGCCTCCCATAGTGCTGAGATTATAGGCTGAGTCACCGCGCCCAGCCCATTGTAATATTTTATCATTGTTTTCCCTCATTCATTGGTGCACATCTCCAGGAACATAAAGTTTTTGGTGCTTTTAGCAGGCCAGGGTTCTTCAAAGATATTGTTCCCTTTCTTTGATGACACATACTTGACAGTATCCATTAATACATTATAACAATTTAATAAATAAATACAGGTTGTGACCAAATGTGCTGGCTCACGCTTGTAATCCTAGCACTTTGGGAGGCAGAGACAGGAAGATTCCTTGAGGCCAGGAGTTCAAGACCAGCCTGGGCAGCACAGAAAGACCCCATCTTTACAAAAAAAAAAATTTTTTTTCAAAATGTGCATATTGTTTACTTGAAGCAGCAGTCCAGGATTGTGAAGTACAATGCACATTTTAAGAATGAGACTTTCTAGGCCAGGTGCAATGGCTAAGCCTGTAAACCCAGCACTTTGGGAGACCGAAATCAGATGACTGCCTGAGCCCACAGGTTTGAGAACAGCCTGGGCAACTTGGTAAGACCTCATCTCTACAATAAAAAAAAATCAAAAAAATAATTAGCCGGGCATGGTAGCATGCACCTGTAGTTCCAGCTTCTTGGAATGCTAAGACAAAAGGATCGTCAGTGCCCAGCAGGTCGATGCCAGGGTGGCCGTGAGCGTGCCACTGCACTCCAGCCTGGGCAAGGGAGTGAGACTCCAACTCAAAAAAAAAAAAAGACAGACTTTCTTTTCATGGTCAAGCACCAGCATCACGCACACAGCATCAGTTTATTTAATAAATTCCCCCATGGGATCCGTTCCTGGATGAAGACCCACTTGAATATGACCACCTTGCTGGCTTCACCACTTTTAATTCTAGTCCGTTTGATTGTACATCAAAGCCTTCCTCTACTTCGGGAAGGCTTTATAGTGCTTTGCTCAGCAGCCAGTCATGTTAGTATCTGGCTACTTACTAAGTGTAAAAAAATAAAAGGCCATTTCTCCATTTTGCAGGCAAGAAGGCAAGAGTGGCACAGGCCTGTTTATTGTTCCATACAGCACAGGTCGATGCTCTGGGCGAAGGGCACTGGGGAGCTAGGACAACACCAAGGAGAAGGCTCTTTATAAAGACAACCCTGTGTGTTGGGCTGTCAGGAACGGGGTCTGGGGGCTGCTTATGGTCTGTCCGATCAAAACTTAGTAAACTCAGGTAAAGAGTTAAAAAATCTCAGTATGAAAGATCTTCTAACACATTTGAAACCAAATTATTTGTTCTTAAAAACACACCAGTAAGTGTCACAAAGTTTTCTTTCCAACTTACTACTAAAAAACACTTATGCCAGGCACGGTGGCGCACGTCTATAATGCCAGCACTTTGGGAGGCAGAGGCAAGAGAATTGCCTGAGCCCAGGGGTTTGAGACCAGCCTGGGCAAATTGGCGAGACCTCATCTCTACAATAAATAAAAAAAATTAGCCAGGCATGGTGGCGCACACTTGTAGTTCCAGCTACTTGGTGGATCACAGCAGGAGGATCTTTTGAGCCCAGAAATTCAAGGCAGCAGTGAGCTATCATTGCACCACTGTACTCCAATCTGGACAACAGAGCAAAACTTGTCTCAAATACATACATACATACATACATCTATCTATATACATACATACAGGTTGAGTATCTCTAATACGAAAATTAAAAATCCAAAATGCTCCAATGAGCTTTTTTTTTTTTTAGTATCATGTCAGTACTCAAAAAGCTTTAAATTCTGGAGCATTTCAGATTTCAGATATTTGGATTAAGGATGCTAAACTGGTAAGTGTAATGCAAATATTCCAAAATTTTAAAAAATCCAAATCTGAAACACTTCTTGCACCAAGCATTTCAGGTAAGGAATACCCAACCTGCCATAACAGTAGATAAATAATAAAAAACAGAGTCCTATAATAGTCATAGCCATATAATATTGCATGTCTGATATGTACTGGGTGCTTTACATATTTTTTTTTAAGTGAGAAAGCAGGATTTATTGAGAGGACAGAAAAGCTTCCACAGTGGAGAGGATACATATGTTATTATTATTTTTTTTTTCTGAGTTGGAGTCTCACTCGGTCACCCAGACTGGAGTGCAGCAGCCGCTCCTGGCCACCGCAGCCTCGCCTGCTGGGCTCCACCTCAGCCTTCCGAGTAGCCAGAATTACAGGCATGCGCTACCATGCCCAGCTGATTTTTTTTTGATTTATTGTAGAGATGAGGTCTCACTGCCCAGGTGGGTCTCGAACCCGCGGGTTCAGGCAATTCACTCACCTCAGCCTCCCAAAGGCGTGGGATTATAGGCTGAGCCACTGAGCCCGGCACATATGTTATTTTTAACGCTAACAACTGCATGCTGCTTATTATTATTTCCATTTTATAGTTTTTTAAAAAGAACTAAGGGTGGCTAGGTGTGGTGGCTTACGCCTATAATCCCAGGACTATGGGAGGCCAAAGCAAGAGGATCACTTGAGTCCAGGAGTTCAAGACTGGCAACACAGTCAGATCTCATCTCTACAAAAAAATCAAAAAATTAGCCTGGTGTGGTGGTGCATGCCTGTAGTCCCGGCTACACGGGTGGCTGAGGTGGGAGAATCTCCTGAGCCCAGAAGGTCAAGGTTACTATAAGCTGTGAGTGTGTCACTGTATTCCAGCCTAGGTGACAGACTGAGACCCCAACTCAAAAAAAAAATTGAATATTGAAATTCTCCAACATTCTATCTGTGGTTTATAAACCAGGATATAGAGAAGTCCTATCACAATGTGGACATTTAATAGCATTAACTGAAATATGTGCCTCTTACTATAGCATATACATTGCAATGTGCAAAGTAAATAAATAAATAAAAGATATAACTCACAAAGAAAGAACTAAAATGGTCCCTATTTGCTAATGACACTATAGTCCACACAGAAAAGCCTAAGGGATCTGCACGCTAGTAAGATGAATAAATGAAATTAGCAAGATCATAGGGATACAGGTTAATAGACAGACGTCAACTGCAATTTTATATACTAAAAACAAACACTTGCAAATGAAATTTTAAAAACTAGACTACAAAACTCCATCCAAACAAACCATAATTATAATATATAGCTTGTGCTTCTGGATAACCTTTTTTCTCCTTTAAATGAGATCATTTGAATAAAATTAGAAAGGTCCGTCAACCAGATCCAATACATTACATTCATTTAATAGATTAGGTAAGTATTTTCAACAGTTTTTTACATAAACATCTTCTTTGGCACAGAACTCTTAAGGAAAAAGTATTGCATCACTGTAACAGTCAATTACTCATAAAGCTCATTAAATTCAGCATCATATATTGTGATAAAAAATAATAATAGCAGTTTCATTCTCTTCCAATAAAATGTAATTCAGTCAAAGAATTCAAACCAGAAGATTTGCTCAGGGAAATATGGGATTTGTAGTGGAGGTCTTACATTGTCACCAACTAGCTCCATGGCCTAAGGCAAACTGTCGTGTGAGTCTCTGGACCCCAGTGTTCTCTGTAAACATAGCTGTAGCAATAATTCCCACTTGAAATTTGCATGAAATTTAAGGAGGATGAATGACACTTTTCCTGTGCCACAAGGCATTACATAAATGTTGATTATTATTTATCATGGGTTAAGTATCATTATCCTATTATCTCAGTCATTTTATAACTGGGGAAAACAAGCACAAGGAAGAATAAGCGAGTCTCACAGTCACACAGGCTGGGGGTCACAAATATTAATATGCCAGAAAAAAAAAAATTAGGCAACTGATGGAAGAGCCAAGCAATTAGCAAACAAAAGAAGAAAAACGTTCAAGGGAATATTTTTCTTTAGAAAAATGCAGGATTGCTCTCTAATGCTAGCGCTTGTAGTTCCTTAAATAATCATAAAATCTTTGCAAATTTCATCATCCAAAGGAGATTTCTAGAAATTTAATATACCAAACATTCATTCTCATATCTGGAGTTGCTTGGTAATGTCACAAAGTCCACAATCAATGAGAAAGATTATTGGACTCAGAGAGGAATGGCCACATAGGAAAGCATTCTAATGTAGGCATCTTCTGATGGACAGAGCTGGGTCTGTGAAGCAATGCATGCCCCTCCTCAATGGCAATGCTAAGATGGAGGGACTGCCCAACAGACTTGCCAGTAGTTTTAAAAATGTAGGACAGGCCAGGTGTAGTGGTTCACAGCTGTAATCCCAGCACTTTGAGAGGCCAAGGCGGGAGAACCGCTTGAGCCCTGGGGTTCAAGACCAGCCTGGGCAGCATAGTGAGATCTCATCTCTAAAAAAAATCAAAAAATTA